CAAAGTGCTGGGATTTTGGGCATGAGCCACCGCATGGTTTTTTTAAATAATTTTTTGTGTGTGTGAACCGGGCACAGTGGCTCAAGGCTATAATCCCAGCACTCTGGGAGGCAGAGGCGGGCTGATCACTTGAGGTCAGGAGTTCAAGACCAACCTAGCCAACATGGCGAAACCCCGTCTCCTCTAAAAACATAAAAATTAGCTGGGCATGGTGACGCATGCCTGTAATCCCAGCTACTCAGGAGGTTGAGGTAAGAGGATTGCTTGAACCCAGGAGGTGGAGGTTTCAGTGAGCTGAGATCACGCCACTACACTCCAGCCTGGGCAAGAGAGTGAGACTCTGTCTCAAAAATAATAATATTTATTTTTGTAATGACATGGGATCTCACTAGGTTGCTGGTCTTGAACTCTCGGCCTCAAGTGATCCTCCCTCCTCAGCTTCCCGAAGTGCTGGGTTTACAGGTGTGAACCACCATGTCTGGCCCTGCCTGCTTTGATGCCAGAACCAGAAGCAAGCACTGGGTTGGGGTTGGCCTCCCTCCCAGAGCTTGTCGGGGCAAGCCACACAAGAGGGTCAGAACCAGCTGCAGCCACACGGAGAGGGAACCAGCATGGGGTCCGCTAGGGGCCTGACCAATAAGACCACCTGGAGAGGCGGAAACCCCAGCAGCAAAAAGCTCGAGGTAAACCCAAGGGACTAAAGCAAAGCGTCTCAAATGATCACCAAGAAGAGACTCCAGGAAGCGCAGACCCACGGAGGAGCCCCGCCAGGAGAAAGGGCAGCTTTCAACCACAGCCAGACCCAAAGGAAGCACAGCCAGCTGCCCATGCACCTACTCGGGTGAGAGCTGTCCCGGGCCCTAAAACCCCTCACCCAGCTCCAACCTTGGGAGAAAGGACAGAAGCCAGCCTCATCCCTTTCCCATGCAGACTTCCAGCCCTAAGCAGCCTCAGCTGGAGCAAGAAGAATGGTTTGAAGTTTTGACTAATATCTTGGCCTGGACATTGAAATTCCAAAATGAGACTTTTTTTTTTTTTTTTTTTTTCCATTTAAAGCAACCATCAGACAATTTCCTAAGAGGAGCAGAAAAGTCCAAGCCTGCCAGGGTCTGGGAACATGAATCCGGCTCAATAAACTTTAAAGGGGCAGCACAGGACAAAAGCTAAAGTCGCCTTCCAATTGCATCGCAAGCTGTGCTCATTCCACACACCGGTTGCACAAAGGCTGGTGAAAACATCTCAGTGGAACTGAGAGTAGCCAAGTTCCCGTGAAAGGAAAACATGCAAATCTGTTTTCAGTATCACTTTCAAGCTTCCTGAGTGGAGCCTTTGGCCTGGAATGACTCGCATTGACGTCAGCCGGAGGCAGCCATATCGCAGCAGCTGCCATCCCTTCCTCACCCGCAGCCCCCCGGGGCAGAAGACACTCTGGTTTTGTTCATGGGAGATTAAAAACAGTTGCTGCTGCATCCATAATTCACAACCCCTGTGATTACCGGGGCCAGGAATACTGAGCAGAAAGCACAAGGCGTCCACATTAAAACCAAGGGGAGCGGGCGCAGTGGCTCACCCCTGTAATCCCAGCACTTTGAGAGGCCAAGGCAGGCGGATCGCCTGAAGTCAGGAGTTCAAGACCAGCCTTGTCAACATGACGAAAACCCTCTACTAAAAATACAAAAAAAGTAACTGGGCGTGGTGGCTCACGTCTTTAGTCCCAGCTACTTGGGAGGCTGAAACACGAGAATCGCTTGAACCCAGGAAGTAGAGGTTGCAGTGAGCCGACATCATGCCATTGCACTCTGGCCTAGGCGACAGAGTGAGACTGTCTCAAAAAAAAAAAAAAAGAAAGAAAGAAAGAAAAAAACAGGCCGGGTGCGGTAGCTCACGCCTGTAATCTCAGCACTTTGGGAGGCTGAGGCAGGTAGATCAGCTGAGATCAGGAGTTCAAGACCAGCTTGGCCAACGTGGTGAAACCTGTCTCTACTAAAAGTACAAAAATTAGCCAGGCGTGGTGGTGGTGGGTGCCTCTAATCCCAGCTATTCAGGAGGCTGAGGCAGGAGAATCACTTGAACCTGGGAGGCAGAAGTTGCAGTGAGCCAAGATCACGCCGCTACACTCCAACCTAGGCGACAAGAGCAAGACTCCGTCTGAAAAAAAATTAAATAAATAAATTAAAAAAATAAAAAACACAAAACAAAAAAAACAAGGGGAGACCCACAAGAAAGATGCCAGAGATGGGGATCATGGTCAACTGGGACCCCGCCCAGGGCACCACACGCTTGCCGGTTCCCCTGAGCCTCAAGGCGATGGGATCTACACCACACATCTGAGGCTCTGATAAACTGCTGGAAACACGGGCTTACGCATGATGCTGCTTTGTTTTACGGCACTCTGTGAGGGAGAGAGGGCAGGTACCCCACAGCCCAGGGTGGACTCCTCTTGCCTACGGTCTCCTAGCAGAGCAGCAATCACCCAGGAGGAGAGAACAAGCTCCTTCCCGGGGCTGCACTGGGGCTGGTGGCAGTGGTGGCAATGTCGATTGTCATGTGCCCTGCCCTGCACTGGCGGCCTGGACCCTGACTCTATTTTGAATCTTCTGGTTCCTTCCAGCATCCAGGACAAGGCCCTGGCAGTAAAGCCCAGCTCCACACGGCTCCTGCAGCATGGAGCTGGTTCTCCTCCAAAAGTCCTGAGAGATGTATCATTTCTCAAGCTGGTAGATAATTCTGCCCCTTTCTATAGTGCTTCTCAGACACATCCCATAGGTAATTGTTGCTTGAAGCCTCTATTAAAATGTGAGGCAACAGAAGCCAGTGGAATCTGCATCCCTTTCCTTCGTTTAGTCTCAGGATAGAATGGTCTTTCTGACTAAGCCAGTGATTTGGGCATAAGGAAAGGAATGTGAGTGTGGGGAAAGGGAGGTGGGGGAGAGGGCTGGCGTGCACTGCTGCACTCTCTGTGGTTTTAAGATCCTTCAAATAGAAGCTGTGAACATGTGGCTGGGTGGGGTAGCTCACACCTGTAATCCCAGCACTTTGGGAGACCAGGCAGGGGGGTCACTTGAGGTCAGCAGTTCAAGACCAGACTGGCCAACATGGTGAAACCCCATCTCTACTAAAAGTATAAAAATTAGGTGTGGTGGCGGGTGCCTGTGATCCCAGCTACTCGGGAGGCCGAGGCAGGAGAATTGCTTAAACCCAGGAGACGGTGTTGCAGTGAGCCGAGATCATGCCACTGCATTCCAGCCTGGGCAACAGAGCGAGAGACTTTGTCTCAAACAAACAAACAAACAAAAAGGCCACGCACAGTAGCTCATGCCTGCAATCCTAGCACCTTAGGAGGACAAAGCAAGTGGATCACCTGAGGTCAGGAATTCGAAACCAGCCTGGCCAACGTGGCGAAACCCTGTCTCTAGTAAAAATACAAAAATTAGCTTGACGTGTTGGCGTGTGCTTGTAATCCCAGCTACTCAGGAGGCTGAGGAAGGAGAATGGCTTGAACCCGGGAGGCGGAGGCTGCAGTGAGCCGAGATCGTGCCATTGCACTCCAGTCTGGGTGACAAGAGTGAAACTCTGTCTTAAAAAAAAAAATAAAAAGATAGAAGCTGTAAACATGTGGCTGTGCCTTGGGACTGCCCGGCTTCAGCACTGCTCTGAAGTCAGGGCCGGCGCAGAGCAGAGCTTACTACCAGAGGACGTGAGTGCAGATCCTGCTGCTGGCTCCACCACTTGTCTGAGCGGGACACCAAGCCCAGCTCTTGCTGCTGCCACTGCTTCTCCCCAGGGGCCTGCCCCGAACCCCACTCCTGGGCTGAGGTCTGGCCCCTCCCCTCACCTTGCTAATCACAGTGCCGTCATAGGTGATGTCATTTCCCAGTATACTGAGCAACGCGAGGGTGGGAGCTTGGGCCTGTCCAAATCCCAGCACCCATCACATAAAATGCAAAATGAAACACGCCAACCGCAGATAACGTCCAGATGGTTTTCTTATTGCTGGCATTGCGATATCAGTAAGTATCAGCAAGTAACCATCATTCCCCAGGCGTCCCTTTCTTGGGTCTAAGGAAAGCTCGTAAGGTTGTGTGGATCCACATCGAGGACCGTCTGCTCAGAGGTGGGAGACTCTTCTGGGGAAAGGCAGACGGTGAAGAAAAACAAGAGCTGTTTTGCTGTTGTTACTTTTAATCAATCTTTTATTCACAGCTACAAACCTTTAATCAATTATGGATAAAACACATAAGCTTTTTGAGATGCCGATAAAGGAACCCATACTGAGAGACCACATAAAATCCGAGTGCTGAGCTGGCCATGGGCTTGGCGGGTCAGCAGCACACGGAGGCACAGAGATGGTGGCACCAACAGAAAGGAATGTGGGAAAATTTTGTCCCCCAGATAATACAAATAGAACAATAAAATGAGGTTCAGGGTTGAAATGGCAAAGTCAACGTTGCGGTCATTCTCTTGGGTCCCTTCCATGTGCTGGGCTACAATTATAAATGGGGCATGCTGGCTGCATGCCAGGGGCTCCTGGCCTCCAGGAGACAGACACTGTTACACCAGGCTAAGCAAGTGCCATAAAGTCAGGGATCGCTTGGGGCCAGGAGTTAAAGACCAGCCTGGGCAACACAGCAAGATGCCATTTCTACAAAAAAAAAAAAAAGAAAAAAAAAATTAGCCAGGCATTACAGTGCACACCTGCAGTCCTAGCTACTTGGGAGGCTGAGGTGGGAGGATGGCTTGAGTCCAAGAGTTCGAGGCTGCAGTGAACAATGATCGAGCCAATGCACTCCAGCCTGGGTGACAGAGCAAGACAAGACCCCGTCAATCAATCAATCAATGATAAAACAGGCCACTGGCCAGATTTGGCCTACAAGGCAGTAGTTTGCCTGCCCCAGGTTCAGATTAGAAAATAGAGTTGAAATCCACTAGCACAGTCCCTCCAAGTCCTGCTTTTCTTCCCCCTTCCTATTCCATATGCCTAGATTTTTTCTCATATCCAGTGATTCCAAGGCATTGCTAAATGATCTGAAGATTACAGTGAGTTTGCCTTCATCTAAGCTCAAGAGACTGCAGTGCATAAAGATAATTTGTTCAACAGTGTGAGAACTGCTTTGCCAGGAGTGCTGAGTGTTTTAGTAATCAATCAATCAATCAGTCAGAGAAGAACTCATTAGGCACATGGTGCTGTTCCACACTGGAGATGTGCAGAGCGTTGAGGCTGGATCCTCACAAGCGTTGAGGCTGGATCCTGGCACGTGGGTTGGTGAGAAATTCCCACTTCCCTGTTGCCCGGGTACTCATCGCCGTTTCACACAGTTTTAGTTGTGTATAATCCTTGAGAGTCACATCTTCCATTTCTTAACCTGTACAATGAAGAAATTCAACTAAATAGCAACATGATTTTGTGTGTGCACCAGGGGGCTTCTCAGCGAGGGCTTCTTGGAGATGTCTTGAAGGCAGCCATGGGCCATGTATGAGGACTGGCCTCAGGGCAGGCTGAGCCATGGGGGAGGGCTCTTAAGCCCAAGAGATGGAGGCTGTAGTGAGCCATCCTCTTGCCACTGCACTCTAGCTGGACAATGGAGCAAGACCCTGTCTCAAAAAAAAAAAAAGAAAAAGAAAAAGTATTCACTATTTATATGAAATTCAATTCAAATTCAGCTGAGCATCTTGCCTGTTTATTTGCTAAATCTGGTAGCCCTCTAGGGAGAGAAGCAAGTTCACATTTGAGTGTCTGGACCTCCCAGCAACATACTAGTTGGTTCCTACAACCTGTGCGTGGGCATGAGTGCATGGAAATGGCGATAGGGAGAGGGAATAAAACAGAAATAGAGGAGGGTAAGTAATTGAAGCCTCGGTATTTTTGCTGTCATTGCAAGAAGAAGGAGATGATCTGACATATGGTACAGATGAAGAGTTGAAAACTCAATGCCAGCCGGGCAGGTGGCTTACGCCTGTAATCCTAACACTTTGGGAGACTGAGGTGGGTGGATCACCTGAGGTCAGGAGTTCAAGACCAGTCTGGCCAACACGGTGAAACCCCGTCTCTACTAAAAATACAAAAATTATCCGGGCGTGGCGGCGGGCAACTATAATCCCAGCTACTCAGGAGACTGAGGCAGGAGAATCTCTTGAATCCAGGAGTTGGAGGTTGCAGTGAGCCGAGATTACGCCGCTGCACTCTAGCCTGGGTGACAGCAGGAGACTGTCTCAAAAAAAAAAAGAAAAGAGAAAAAGAACAATGCCACAAGGAGCTAGACAAGGAGTAAAAGTTAGTCAAGTGGAATGGATACAGCCACAGGGAACAGTGGAGACATGGGACACTAGGGGGTGCATGCCCCACCTAAGAGTTCTGCCGGTACCTCGCTCCAGCTCACTCCGCCATGTGATCGTCAGGATTTGGTACGGAAGAGCTGATTCTCCTCGGGATGACGGTCCTGGTAACCTCACCTGTGGATAGTGAGGCTGATTTCAGAAAGAGCTTTCGAGAGCCTGCAGAGTTCATGAGTAAAGCTGAATACAGTCCCAGCCCCAGCAAATGAAGGCTCCTTCAGCATTAAAGCAACTACAAGCTTCACCTGGAAGCAGCACTGCCAGGTAAACACAGGACACCCAGTTAAATGTGAACTTCAGATAAACAATGAATACCCTTTCGGTATAAATGCATCCCAAATATTGCATGGAACACATTTACACCCAAAATATCTATATTTGTTGGCCGGGCATGGTGGCTCACACCCATAATCCCAGCACTTTGGGAGGCCAATGCGGGAGGATTGCTTAAGCTAGGGGTTTGAGACCAGCCTGGGCAACACAGTGAGACCCCATCTATACAGAAATAAAATAATTAGCCAGACATGGTGGTGCACACCTGTCGTTCTAGCTACCTGGGAGGCTGAGGTGGGAGGATAACTTGAGCCCAAGAGATGGAGGCTGCAGTGCACTGTGATCCCGCCATTGAACTCTAGCCTGGACAACAGAGTGAGACCCTGTCTCAAAAACAAAACAAAACAAAAAAACAAGTATTCATTGTTTATATGAAATTCTATTCCAGTTTAACTCAACGTCTTGCCCTTTTATTTGCTAAATCTGGTAGCTCTCTAGAGAGAGAAGCAAATTCACGTTTGAGTGTCTGGACCTCCCAGTAACACACTAGGTGATTCCTATGTACTCCCCCTGAGGCCAAAGGATGGATGTTCTAGAACCATCTCGGCCCCTCCCCAGTTGTGTGTTCCCCGTCCCTCCGAGCCTCGGTTTCCCCATCTCTTAGGTGGACATGGGAATTCCTACCTCACAGGATTGTCACAAGGATGAAATGGAGTAAATGTAACGGCATATTGTACAGTGTCTGAGACGAAGTGGACAGGCAACACGCTTGCTGCTGAGTGAAATTCCTCACCCTCAGAATGACGCTTTGTTCTCCCACTGCACCTGTCGAGACCCGTCCAGGCCGGGCCAGGGGAGCGTGTCACCCCCACAGTGGCAGGCAACGTCATGTGGCCTCCAGGGCCTTCAGGAGGAGGCAGCGAGGAACACAAGGGCTGTGCTCCAGGTGAACCGCCCAGATCACAGTTCAGGGCAGAATGTGGACCCTGGCTTTCTGTTCTTTTGGGTTGGAAGCCACGCCTACAGAATCCTCCTTCTCCACTTGGGCTTTGCCGCCATTTTTCAGCGGCATGGAAACTGCTGCCAGCAGCACAAGGATGGTTTCTAGTGCAACCAGAGAGTTCTCTGAGGGGCTCGGAGAGACCCAGGACCGGCTTCAGCCACCTTCCCCACTCCGGCCTGCAGCCTCTTGAAAGCCAGGCCTGAACATGGAATAGCTGGGAAGCCTTCGAGCATTCCAAAGAAGAAACGGAACCTGGAGCATGAAGAGCTTCATTTTATCAGCTTCCTTCCCTGGATGCCTGAAGGGTGACACCGGATGTCTGCGCTTAGGACACAGAGGTGCCTGCCAGCGCCGCACGCTGATCCGCCTGCAGACGGCCCTGTCCACGCACACAGACACGTCCCAAACACTGCAGGGAGATCTCTTGAGAGGGCTCATTTAACTCTGTTTCCCTTGGAAATAAAAGTGACTGCATTCTTTCACTAGGGCTGCCATAGCAAAGTGCCGCAGTCTGGGTGGCTTCAGCAACAGAAATGCCTTGTCGCCCGGTTCTGGATGCGGGAATTTAAGATCAAGGTGCCAGCAGGTCGGTTCCTTCCGAGGCTGTGGAGGACGCATCTGTTCCAGGCCCCTCCTCGGCGTGCAGGCCTACACGGTCACATGGAGTTCTCCCTTCACAGCTGTCTGTGGTCAAATGTCCCCTTCCTATAAAGACACCCATCATGTTGAATTAGGACCTACCCTCATGACCTCATTGTAACTTAGTTACCTCTTTAAAGACCCTATCTCCAGGCCAGGCGCGGTGGCTCACGTCTGTGATCCCAGCACTTTGGGAGGCTGAGAGGTGTGGATCACCTGAGGTCAGGAGTTCGAGACCAGCCTTGCCAGCATGGTGAAACCCCATCTCTACTAAAAATGCAAAAATTAGCTAGGTATGGTGGCGTACGCCTGTAATCCCAGCTAGTCGGCAGGCTGAGGCAGGAGAATCACTTGAACCTGGGAGACAGAGATTGCAGTGAGCTGAGATCACACCACTGCACTCCAGCCTGGGTGACAGAGCAAGACTCTGTCTCAAAATATATATATATATAAATAAAATTAAATTAAAATAAAGATCCCATCTCCAAACAGGGTCACATTTTTAGGTACAGGC